TCGCCCGAGGCCGTTGGTCCTTCGGTGCGGAATCGGAATCGTCCGGTCTCCGACCGTTCGGATGGTGCCCTCCGACCCGTTGCTGTGTTCAGTGTCCAACCCTTGGCCGCGCCGGGACCAGCCTGCAGCCGCTAGGAGGCGCAAAAGCTCCACAATTTGGCCCGGAAGGCCTGCGAGGAGATGAGAGCTGGCGCCCACCGGTTTTCGTTTGCCGATTCCGGGATGGAGGAAGACCATCAAAGACAGCAGATTAACCTGCAAGTGCCAAAAAGACTTGGTATTTGGACATAGATGGACCATTTGGATGTATGTTTTGGGGGCTTCAGGTGGTGCAGAGTTCTTTTGTCCACCAGCTGGTTGGAGTGAATTGATTTCTTGTAAGTACAGCCAGACCGCTGTGCGGTAGCCTGTTGCTCAATACGGACATTGGATGCCACTGCTGGACAAGCCAACCTCAGAGAATCAAACAAGCTCAATGAACATCGCTGAGATGCAGACAAAAAGCTCCATTCGGGTCCATGTACCTGTGATGGAACGATATGGAACGTTTAATTCTGAATTGAAATATAAATCACTATTTATACATCTTATTCTGTGTTCTTCGTCGTTCTTGGTATTTCTCCCAATCCACTGCTGCTTCTTGAGCCTCTTTTCCAGAGTTTGTCACCACGGGGACGGGGGCCCGACACCGCTGGACAGTGAAGAGACGAAAACCACGTCCATGGGAAACGTGCTGAAGTCCATCAAATTATTTAGCTGACATTGCGGGTCAACTCAACTTCCATGTATGCTGCTCAGTTTTTGTTGAATGAGTGTTTGATTCATCAGTTCTTGCAAAGTGATGGCAAGTTTCCTGCTGCTGGAGTCTATATATAGCTTCATCTTGTTTCCCACCCAGACCAGTCCAAGAATGCAAGAGCATCACATATATTCTTCAATTGTGTGTTTATTCTTTGTTTTTGAGTGGGATCTCCTTATTTGATACACTCAGAATAAATAAGGTCCCCATGCCGTTGGCTTTGCCTCTGCCTTTGACACGTTCCTGAGTTGAAAAAGACAATGCCACCATTCTATTTGGAACCTTCCTGGACCGTGGACCATCGCGCGAGATAGGAGGCTGGTCAAGGTTCCTTGGATCGATTGGACTCTGTCAGTGGAGGGTCGGAGTATGTCACGATGACTTGGTTCCGATGTTCCTGAAAGTGTTGGCCCAGTGCTTACTAGTGCCTATACGTGTTTTTCTCCATTGGTAAAGATATACATTTCAGGTGCTTTAGACAGGGGATGCTGCTGCACAAAGACCATCCAAGACCCAATTACCATGAAACCTAGAGTTCTGCAAAGTTCACAGGCGTGGCTAGTGACCTGATGTGGCCTGTATGTTCTTCAGTGCAGGGCCTATACACTTTGGCGGAATTCACTCGTTCAAGCAGAAACTCCTTCAGTTTTCAAGCTTTGGACTGCCGAGAGAAGCACGATACATGGTTTGTGGTTTGCACTCCCTGAAACAATCATGGAAGTGCACGAGAGCACAGGCCATTCTGTCTTGGCCCCGAAGTCGGAGCCTCCCCAGCTGCCGATCGTGGTCCAACACCTCGGATGTCGAGATCGACTTCGCCCATTCGAAGGCGATCGGTGATAGAAGCGGTCACTTCTGAAGGCGGTGATGGCTTCAAAATGGGACTGCAACAAAACGCCATTTCAGGGTCTACGAAGCATCACACAATGGTCCAGAAGCAAGGGGAGACAGGATATTTTCCTCAGCGAACCATTTCATCATCCGTGCTAGAAAGGGGTTTGTATTGTACACTGAATGATATGCATGTTCTATTACAACCCATACATACCAAGCCAAACTCTTTGGTACTCGTTCGATTCTCGTTCGATTCACGTTCCGCTGCATGTTCGATTCAGCCCGTTCCCTGAGGCACGCAGACGCAGGCGGCAGTCGTCCGAAATCCGAAGAAGGAAATCGTCTAATGCCCTTGTTACTAGTAGCAATGCCAGGAGCTACTAGTAGCGTCCTTGCTCCTGGCATTTCCCCGGTGATGCACCAGATCATGAAGATACCAGTGAAAAACTCGACCTCATTGGCCCTCAAAATCCCGCAGCAGATGAATTCGATGCCTTTGCCCTCTGCATGCGTTAAAAATGGGCCCCTCGAGCACTTTGGTCACAAATCTGTTGCAACATTTAGCAACTGTTCCTATGTGGGGTTTTGTGGCAAAAACTACAGCAAAGCTGTTCACTGGGACGATCCGGACGATCCTTTTCATCTCTGAGTCACGGGTGTTCACCAACAAAATCCAACGAAATCACCCAGATTGGCAGTCCAAATATAGGTCTCACTAACCTCCCTCATCATGGCAAGAGCCATTAAAACCATGTACGTGGGAATCCTAGGGCATATATAATAAACTGTGCGGGATTTGATTTGCTTATGTTCAAGGACGAGGACTGGCCCTGGCGGCCATGTCACAAAAGCTGTCTATCGGGTGGAACTCCTGCGAGTTTGACCGTGACATCTGGTTTTGTGCCCCTGTTACTGGTAGCTTCTTGCTACTAGTAGTAATGGCCTCCAACATCCTCCAACCTACTAGCGATGCCAGCCTAGTAACTTCTTTTTGCTAAGCTTCACCTACTCTACCATGGCAATGTTTTCACCTTCACCATCCTTCACCTGTTTTGTGTTCTCCGTCACTGCCCACGGTCTCCAGGCTGCCGTGGACTCCGCCATGAGCGCCGCCGCCACCGTGGCCCCCGATGGCTTCCGGATTTGCCGGAGATCCTGGCACTGGCTCTGGCGTGGTAGAGAGAGAGCAATGGAAGAGATGAATAGCAATGGCCTCCAACCTAATAGCGATGGCCTCCAACCTATCAGGATCTGCCGAAGCCTGGAGATGACTTGTTGTGGGATGTTGGAAGTTTTTTGGAGATGTTTATGGAATCTGACGGGAAAATTGGAATATTAAAGATTAACGCAAAACACTTACTCATGTTTGCGTGTGTGCATGGATTCAGACGATTCAGACTTGGGAAACCAAGAAGGACGGACATGGAAAATGCACCCCTCGGTTCCCTGTTTGGAGCCATGACTGAAATACACCACAGTATAATATAGTATGGACCCTGTGGCACCCATATGATACCAGAGAGCGGTCCATTTGCTTGGTGTTTGATTTAGTGTTTGAAATTGCCCTTGCTTCGCGGATGAATTTTGGCATTCAGGAACGATCAGGTGTGTTTTGATGTTCAATGTTGCTGAAAATAGTCACGTAGAAGACGTTGAAACACTATAGTTCAAGCTTTATGCATGTGAGTATGTGAGTGGCGGGGCTGCAACTTGCTGTTTAGTATTGGAATAGCTGTTCTTTTTTTGTTCCTGATCCTACTCGAGGTCGGGTGACTCGCTCAAATGTGGTCTATGTTGGCTCAAGCTGAAGCACGTAAGCAGTATACAAAGTGAAGATAGCTTCCACTTTGAACATCAGCATGCTTGATTGTGCTCAATATATGGCTATACAAGTACGTTCCTCATGACTGCTACATTGACTCTACATCGGCTTCCTCTCGAACAGCCACAAACTCAGTATCAATGGGAAGAAGCCAGCTGACAAAGGTCGCAAGCAGAGGCCCTTGAGCCGGGTCAAGAACATATCACTTCACTAGGTCATTCCAAACATGGTAGTTAAACATTTGTGGCACTCACACTACTCTTCACAGCAAGACCTGGGTTTCAAGCCTTTGCCAAAATGCCAAATTTCATCAAAGTGGCTGAGCTGACGCCGAATTCCTTGAACGTTGACCTAATTGTGAAGGTCCTTGGCTGCGATGCTCGTTTACATTGCCTCAGTGGACTCCAATGCACCTGTGCCACCGTGGGGGATGAGACCGGCACGGTCCTCTTGCGCTTACCAACTCAGCAAGCTCGCCTGGAGCCAGGGAGTACCTTGGTTTTGCGCCAGGTCCGTAGTGAACTCTTCCATGGACAGCTTCGGCTCGAGCTGGGCCGCTGGAGCAGGCTCACTCTGATGGAGGACGCAGCCTGGCTGCGTCCCAAAGTGCAGCATGACGTCTCGGCCATGGAGTTTGTGGTGGGATCGCTGGCCGGACAACGTGTGGAAAGAAGAGCGATGCCGTGCAGCTGTTCAGCCATGCTTTTACATTCAGCGTGTTGCATGGCGAATCGGGGTGTGTATGTATACTCACACCAGATTTATGATGATTAATGAAGTACTTCGGATGAATTTTCTGGCGGAACCGGGGGGCAAGCAGAAAGGTCTTGTCACAGAGGCTGCTACAGAGCGTGTGACTGTTTGATTTGTGCCTTCAAACATGTGTTACGTGTTTATGTTAAGTCTATGTCAAGAAGAAAGGTCTGCAGTTACCTGCATTTCTACTGTAGTTTAAACTTCTTTTTGCAGGTTTCAGGGTGTGATCAGGCTGGTGCCCATCCAGGCACATCATGGGCTGGAGATGCCAAAACCACACGGCTTCGCCTGCTTGCATTTTGCCTGGTGGGTGTGGTTGGGAGATTCGATCTTGGTGCCCAGGTGAGCTTCTGATGCGCTTCAACCCCAAGCAGTTGCGGCAAGAGTTTAAGCAGCGGCCCGGCCACGAGAGCGACACGGGACAGACACGGATACGACACGGGAAGGCGGATTTGTATCCAAGTGCTTGAGACCGGAGTGCTTCAGGTAGAACAGTGCCGGCTCTCTTCGTTTTGAGTCCAAAAAACCCACCAAACGATTTTCCCGCTTTCCCACTATGCTGAAAAGGCTCGGTTCCCTTGTGGTCACAAAGATGACAAAAGCTGGCCAAACTAGGGGCACGAGACTTTTTGCAACTGAATTGACAGGACACATATGGCTTCCCTTTTGACAAGTCTGTTCTGTTTGCATCCTTAATCCAAGAGCTACCTTCAAATGCCGCAGTCTTTAGGGACCCTTGGGACAAAGGTCCGGCTGGATGGCTGGATGCTGGACGACCTACACCGCGAGGCTGTATTTGGACCGCCTACACCGCCTGGCCGGAAGACGAGACGAAGGATCCCCTGAGGCGATGGATCGACCAAAACGGCGTACAAGATCCGAAGGACGAAAGGACCATGGCGGCGAGGTCCGGACATATATCAAGTTATAACATCTTGAGAACGAGAACATGTTTGAGAACCATGTTTTACTAAACATTGGCAAGATCAACATCAATAGAACCTTTTGTAAACAAAAAGAGGTCAAGAGACGAAGGGTCCCTTTCGGATGCAAAAACGAGGCCTGTCCGGTCTGGCGAGCGTGTCCGTTCGGAGGGTTGGTGGTCTCAGGCTCCTTCCCGACGGTCCTTGAGCTCGAGGAGTCGACTGTTGGCAGAGAGAGTTCACCAGAAGATGCAGGAGGCCCCGAGAGTTCGTGCCATGCGCCATGTGGATCCCCGCTGTGGCGATGGGGGGTTCGCGTTTGGAGCCCAAAGATTTGAGCTTTTGGTTGTTTCTCCCAACATTGATGTGTGGGGTTCTTGTTTTTTTTGCTGCACCTCCTCGCTCCTCCGCCTTCGTCCTTCCTCCTCCGCCTCCTTCCTCCTTCCTCCTCTTCTCTCACACAAATCATCTCTCACACAACATCACTCACAACAACATCTCTCACACAACATCTCTCACACAACATCCCACACACAACATCTCTCACACAACATCTCTCACAACAACATCTCACACACACAACATCACTCACACAACATCCCACACACAACGTCTCGCACAC